CTCCCTGCAGCGTTCCCAGGGGGATGAGCGCGTTCAGCCCATCCTTTCTGAGCTTTGCCTTTTCCAGAATCTTCCCTTGGGTGGGGTTGGGAAGCGCCGGGGCCGGGAGAGGATCCAAAGTGGGATCCCAGCATGGAGGAGCCGGCAGCCAGAAAACGCTGCTCTCAGCTCATGTAGTTCAAGGATTCCCGTGCTTCCTCGGCTCTTTCCTTATTATTTTGAGGGAAAAAATTCCACCATGGTGCATAAAACCTCAGCCCTCTCCATGGAAGAGGAGGAGAAGAAGGAGGAAGGGCAGCTCCGGCTCCTCATTCCCTCTCCCAGCACGGTGCTTGGAGATGATCCTTGTCAGAGGAACATGGGATCAGTGCCGGGATCAGAATCAGTGCCAGCACCGGGGTTGGGATCAGTGGGCAGGGACAGGGCTGGGAGCTGCCTGGGAAACTCCTGCTGGATTCCTTGGAAGTGTTTGGCTTCCCTTGGAGGCAGCATAGCCTGGGAATGGAGACAGAGATGGGATGGGGGCAGGATGGGGGTACAACAGGGATAGGGATGAGGATGGGTGTGCAGTAGGGATGGGACTGGGATGGGAATGGGACTGGAATAGTGTGATGGTGGGGATGGGGACAGGGATGGGGAAACGACAAAGGGCGGGGATGAGGATGTGATAGGGATGGGGTCAGGGATACAACAGGGACAGGGATGAGGATGAGGATCTAATAGAGCTGGGGATGGGGATATGACAGGATGGGGGTGGTCCTGTTGACACAGGGACATCGTGGGCTCCAGTTGCTCCCAGATGCTCTGGGAACAGATCCATGTTCTTGTGCTGTCTGGGGGGGACGGTGACATCACTGTGGTCCTGGGGATGTGACACCTTGTCACCGCCTTCCCGAAGGATCACGGCTCCGGCGTGGAGCTGTAATCCCCAGCACTTCATTAATTATGCAAATTATGTAAATTATAATTAATAATGCAGGACTTCCCTGTTTTCCAGGGCAGGGGGGTTATCCCAGGGGTATCCTGAGGGCAGTGGGAAGCTGAGTCAGGGAGAGAGGTTGCAAATGTGGGAGTCTGGATATGTCCCCACATCCCCATCCCTGTGGGTCCTGAGCTATCCCATCCTCTCCCACGGAGCTTCCCACATTCCCCCTGACTCCAATACCCCATTCCCTGGGGGCCATTCCCGGTGGTGGCAGGTGGGTGACCTCGGCCTCACCCTCCTCCTCCTCCTCCTCCTCTTCCTCCCCCAGGCATCGAGTGCCCACGGGGCGCCCGGAACATCCCGGGGCTGACGCAGGAAGGGGAGCCCTTCAGCGAGGAGGCCACGCTGTTCACCAAGGAGCTCGTGCTGCAGAGGGAGGTACGGCGGCTTCGGGGCACCCGGGGGGGGGCAGGGGCAGCGTGAGGGATCCCAGAGGTACCAGGAGATCCTGGGGGTTACTGCGAGCATCCTGCAGGATGTGGAGAGATCCCGGGCGATTCTGAGAGGTCCAGGGTGTCACTGACAGATCCCAGGTGGCACTCAGAGATCCCAGGCAGTACTGAGACCATCCCGGGGGATTCCAAGAGCGTCCCGGGTGATTCTGAGAGATACTGAGTGATTCCAAGAGATCCCAGATGCCCTGGGCAGATGGAGGAGGAATGTAGGATGGATGAAAGGTGGATGCAGGAGGGATTCAGGATGTATATAAGATGGATGCAGGAGTGCTGCAGGATGTGTACAGGACGGATCCCCCTGTTTGAACTTGTTCTCATTAATATCTCCTGATGTTAAAATTCCCTGGAACTCCTGTGATTTCCCTGATTGAAGCTCTGGAGCTCTGGGCCCATCTGGGGTAATTACACCGTGATTCGTAATTCCAGGGCGGATCCCGGATCCCGCCCCCCGGCCCATCACGGCCCCCACGGGGCCCATCGAGCCAAAACTTGGGATTGGTGTGCCCACAGAGACGTTGGCACTGGTGCAGATGTGGGTGTGGATACAGCTGTGAGCTGTGGATGCAGCTGTGGATGTGGCTGCAGACGCAGATGTGGCCACAGCTGCAGTCCTGGGCACGGATCCAGATGTGGCTGCAGACGGGGTTGTGGCCATGGATGCAGCTGTGTAGAAGGATCCAGATGTGGCCCTGGGTGCAGATGTGGGCTGTGGGTGCAACTGTGGGCACGGATCCAGATGTGCAGATGTGGTTGCAGATCCAGATGCAGGTGTGGACAGAGATCCAGATGTGGGCACAGGGACACTTTGTGGCCCCAGATGCAGATGTGGTGGCGGGTGTAGGGATCCAGATGTTGCCAGGGATGCAGGCGCTGGCACTGATGCAGATGTGCTGGGCACGGATGCAGGTGGCACCACGGATCCAGAAGTGGCCATGGGTGCAGCTGTGGCGGCAGCTCCAGGCCAGCAGTGCCTGTGGGGGTCTGGAATGGAGCCCACCCGTGGCACTGCAGCCTGTGGGGACACAGGGACATGGGAACGCAGGGATATGGGAATGCAGGGACACAGGGATATGGGAACACAGGGATATGGGAATGCAGGGACATGGGAATGCAGGGACACAGGGACATGGGAACACAGGGACACAGGGATATGGGAACACAGGGATATGGGAATGCAGGGACACAGGGACACAAGGCTATGGGAACGTGGGCATGTGGGGACATGGAGATGCAGGGACAGCAACACGGGGAAACAGGGATGTAGGAACATGAAGAAATGGTCACAGGGATGCAGGGACATAGAAATGCAGGGACATGGGGACGCAGGGACACTGGGACACAGGAATACTGGGACACTGGGACACAGGGACACGGGGACACTGCAGTCCTCCCCCTCCCTGCTCAGCATCTCGCGCTGCCAGGAACTGCTGACCCGCGTCCCAGGGGCTTCGCTCCGCTGCCTCGGCACATTGCGGAGCCTCCTCGCTGCACCTGCCCGGAATGGCACAGCAGGGAGGGCCACATGGAAGCTGAGATGCTTCCCAGGAATGCTGCGGCAGGGAGGGCACGATGCTTCCCAGGAATGTCGTGGTGGGGAGGCCGCGTGGAGGTCGTGGATGCTGCGCGGGAATGTTTTGGCGGGGAGGCCGCGTGGAGGTCGGGATGCTGCCTGCGGATGTCAGGGCAGAGAGGTCGCCTGGAACGTGGGATGCTGCCTGGGAATGTCGTGGCGGGGAGGCCACGGGAGTCCAGGGTGCTGCGCCTCGGTGAATTCCTGGTGCCCACACCGAGCTCGGCTCCGGGTCCCGTCCGGGTCCCCACGGTTCCCACGGTGGCCCCGGACATGTGTTCCCGTCAGCAGCCAAATCCCTGCCCACCCCCACACCCAGCGGGATATTTTTATCCGGCGGCTCCGGCTGTGCTGACTCACGGGCCGGGAGCCGCCGGTGACGAACCGACCCCGGATCGGTTTGGGAAGGAGGAGGGCGCTGGGAGGATCAGGGGCTCATGGATAACCCAGGAAAGGACCACCCCCGAGGTGACCCCCGGTTCCTTTGCAATGGCCACTGCACTGAGCCTGGCAGGAGCTGCCTTGTCCTCCGGGACTACCGGAAAACTGCCATGTCCCCCCATATTTCTCCGTTGTTTTTGTTGTGCTCGAGCTGTAAATTCCCAGTTGGTTGGTCCGACCCCAATCCCAACACTGATTCCAGCACTGATCCCAGCGTTGGTCCCAGGGCCAATCCCAACCCCGATTCCAAAGCTGATCCCAACTTGAATTGCAAGGCCAAGCCCAACCCTGATCCCAACACCAATCCCAATCCCAGCCCTGTGCTTGGAGCATCCCACCACATCCCACCTCATCCCGCTGCTCCCCAGTGCCGGGGCGGGCACCAGGACGGTCCCCCAAATCCTGGTGCTGGGGGTTTTCCATGACATTCCATGGCAGTGCTATTTTTAGTCGGTCAATATGTGCCTTTTCCCCAGTCCCGGGGGCTGATTCCTCCCTGCTCCGGCCAAATCCCGGCAGGGAAAGGCCCTGGCAGCCACTCCATGGCCCCCAGCCCGTGCCCACCTGGGAGTGCCCACAGGTTGCCATAGGGATTATCCTTAATAAGGATGGAATTCCTGGAATGGGGGGGTACCCAAGAACTGAGGACCCTCCAGCCCTGCCAGTGTCCCTGCTGTGCCCCTGCCCACAGACCCCCTCACACCTGGGGTCCCCCCACTGCACTGCAGACCCCCAGAACACCA